ATTAATCACTATGCTTTAATTATGTTCAATTTGTAACAATGAAAATACATCCTGCATATCAGATATTTACATGACGATTCATAACAGTAGTAAAATTACAGTTATGAAGTAGCAACGAAAATAATTTTATGGTTGGGGGTCACCACCACATGAGGAACTGCATTAAAGGGTCGCGGCATTGGGAAGGTTGAGAACCACGGCTTTAGACTGTGCTGTGATTCCTCCTCCGTTTTAAGGCCATCTCTCTTACTGCTGTGGCTAATGCCCACTCCCTTTCCCAAGCCCAGTTTTGTGCTGGGGAATGTGGGTTTGGCATGTGCCAGTAAGAAAGACCGATGACTGCTCCGGACCCTTTCACAGCAGGCAAGCACGGCAGCTCGAAGCCCAGGTGGTTGCACATAATGCATGGCACAGAGCTGGCTCCTAGTCAGGCGGGTTTCGGATCTTTGTGGCCGAAATCCTGTTCCTGAGAGTACCGTGACCATTGTTGAGGTGAATGACGAAATGGCAGGAATGAGCTCACCCCTGACTCTAGCAGGGTCAAGGCTGAGTTCTCCTCTGTGCGGCTCCTCGCCCGACAGACATGGCTGTGACAGGCAGTGGTGGCTGTGAGGCCTCTGAGGTGTGACTGAGAGAGGTCTGGGTTCCGGAGTCGTCCCCCACACAGGCAGAGGGCTCGTCCCCCACACAGGCAGAGGGCTCGTCCCCCACACAGGCAGAGGGCTCGTCCCCCACACAGGCAGAGGGCTCGTCCCCCACACAGGCAGAGGGCTCGTCCCCCACACAGGCAGAGGGCTCGTCCCCCACACAGGCAGAGGGCTCGTCCCCCACACAGGCAGAGGGCTCGTCCCCCACACAGGCAGAGGGCTCGTCCCCCACACAGGCAGAGGGCTCGTCCCCCACACAGGCAGAGGGCTCGTCCCCCACACAGGCAGAGGGCTCGTCCCCCACACAGGCAGAGGGCTCGTCGCCCACACAGGCACGGGGCTTGTACCTCTTCTAGCTTCTGCTGCAGGAAGTTGCTCCACCTGCAGCGTGGCCTCAGATTTGTGGCTGCCATCAGGGTTTTTCTCAGTTTCCCAGGTGCTATCCCACGCCTCCCGAGGGTGGTCCAGGACAGAGGCAGCTTCATTTTTTCAGTCGGTGGGGTTTAACAGAGGCAGGTGGTTGGTGCACGGCCCAGGCCTTGTCACCTGCCAAACAGAGTGGTCACAGAGCTAGTCACACGTGACTGTCCCCGGACACGTGGAGAGCGGGGTGTATTTGTACCCAATAACCTGTTGCACACTGCGGTTGCTCCTGGGTTGAATGAACCATCATTTCTCTTTGACCTTTTTTCTTTCCATTTTAATTAACTAGAATCCTTTAAGCAGAAATCTCTATTTTGAATACCCTACCTATAGTCTGATTTTGGAGCCTTTGCTTTGATTGTGTGATCATGCCAAGTATTTTGTTTGTTTGTTTTCTCTTGGAAGTAGGAGCTGCTACTTAATTCCACATCACAACAATTGCACGGAGATAACGCGTATTGTTTCCTAACAGGTTATTAACTTGGGCAAGCCTCTTAAAAACCTGGGCACAGCAACCTTGAATATCCAGTGGCCGAAAGAAATCAGCAACGGCAAATGGTTGCTTTATTTGGTGAAAGTAGAATCCAAAGGATTGGAAAAGATAGCTTGTGAGCCACGGAGTGAAATAAACCCTCTGAACTTAAAGGTATGCTGGTGGGTTCATCTCCCGTTTCCATGGATAAGAAGGGAGAAGCTGACTTCTGAGGGGAAACCCACTCCTCTCCTTAGGAAACCCATGTGCTGGCATGTCGATGCTTCCTGAGAAACATCTCAGTTTCTCTTTGATAGTTGTGTTGTAACCAAGCCAGGCCGAGGATTTCTGTGGATAGGAGACCATTATGGTTCCTGTCAGGCTCATTCACTGCTTGTTGAGGCAAATGGCCTTTTCTGAAGTTGTATGACCTAACATGACATATAAGGAGGACTGGGACAGGCGGGGAGGTGGGGGTGCAGCCAGCATTAACTCCCGGTAGAAGAAAACTCATTCCAAAAGATATTGGCACCTTAGCAAGTGACCTCCAAAGACTTTCCTTCTTGTTTCTTAAAACAGTAGATGTGTATGGAATGCTCACTGAGTCTCAGGCACTGCGCTGCACATTCTGTTGGCACTTTCTCACTTCATTCTCCGGCTAGTCCTGTGAGAGTGGCCTCCTTTCCCTCACCATTTCACGGATGAGGAAATGGAAATTCAGAGAGAACTTTCTCAGTCACTCAGCTTCTAGGAGGCAGGTTCAACATTTAGTTCCGCCTGCTTTCAAAGCCGCCACATGGAACTCTTTCCTCTCCTGCTCCACACGGTCCCACCTGGTTTATCATTTACACTCCATCCAGTGTGATGGAGATTGACGATGTTAGTGAATGTCCGTCTCTTCTATCTTGAATTCTAAGGTGACTGGGTATGATCGGTGTTCGTAGTTGGTGTCTTCTAGAATGATCCTTTATTCATCAACTTGGAAAAATAAGTTGATCCATGATAACTTATCCTTATTATAAGGAAAGGGCAATTTTAAAACTTCCTATAAGGTTTAGTTTTCAGTACTCTACTCTGGCTAAGTCACATGCTGGTTCTTTTTGCTTCTTTCTCTGTTTGTTCTCATTCAAAATGAGCTAACTTTCCACCCTGTGTTAGGTACCTACCTGGTGGTAGGGATACAGGAATGAGATTTGACCCCTGTCTTAGGATGCTCACAGTTCGGCGGGGAGACAGAACAAAGACAGCCTCTTTCTCTCCCTAGGTTTTAAGGTCAGAGTGGGAATTAATTACCCAAATCAGTAACCTTGAAGTGACGTAATAACACTTGCAGATTTTTACACTTAAATTATTTCTGCACATTTGGTGGCAGGAGAAGGGCAAATACTGTGGACTCTGTGAATTTGGCATCATTTGGGAGGGAGTACTCAGGAGGGTGCACATCATGACAGAATTATGTTAAGTAGAATGATCTGGGATATAATTCCTTTCAGGAGTCCCACAACTCCAGAAGGAAACGGGAAATTGCCGAAAAACAGATTGATGGTAGCAAGAAATTTTCACTATTTGCTGAAAGGAAATACCAGACCCTTGTAAGTATTTCTCAAGAGCTGCGATCCGACGGAGGATGGGGGGAAGGTCTTCCCGAGCCCTTGCGTTCTAACCCCTGCCTTCCTCTCCTCCCAGAACTGCAGCGTCAACGTGAACTGCGTGAACATCAGGTGCCCGCTGCGGGGGCTGGACAGCAAGGCCTCGGTGCTGCTGCGCTCCAGGTTGTGGAACAGCACGTTTCTAGAGGTGTGGCCGCTGGGAGGCTGTCTCCGGACGCCATCTGCCACCTCCTAGGCCATGTCTCACTTCCCTAACGCATTCGCTAACTTTGTCTCCACACAGGAGTACTCTAAAATGAACTACCTGGACATCCTCGTGCGGGCCTCCATTGATGTAACTGCTGCCACCGAGAACATCAAGCTGCCGCACGCAGGCACCCAGGTGAGACGGGCCCCAGTCCGCACTCGGAGCAAAACCCCCTGCCCAGGGCCCAGGATGTGCTGCCTTGGCCTCATTCCACAGCACGGCGACCCTGTCAAGGAGAAATCCCATAACGTCTCCAGGTGCTGCCACCGCACGCTGTATTTTAATGGAATCACCGAAGAAAGGAGTGAATCCTTCAGTGGGGCCTCTGGTTCTGCAGTGCACAGGGTAGACTTGGGAGCTGCTGCTCGATGGACCCGGTGCACCTCCCCACATCACCACCAGCCTGGGGACATGAGACCAGATGTGGGGCTCACAGCTCCTCAGTAGAGGCTCCTGTTTCTGGGAGACGATGGAATTAGGGGCCTGGTGCCCAGTCCAGTGGCTGGGTCACAAGTGAAAAGGAGGTTGTTTGGGGTGTTGTATGTCCTGAGGGCGTGGAGAGCTGGTGCTGGCGAATGGGATTGGGAGTCTTGGCCGGGATCCTGCTTTATGTAATAACTGGTAGATTTGTGCCGGTTACTGGTCCCATATCTGGAACTCCTTTCTTTTGAAAACCGAGACATTGTCTCATCTCTAGTCTTATGACACTGATATTTACTGTGATTTCTGAGATACACTAGCTCAGATACCATATTTACGTACACATTTCCGTAGTATTTTAAGAAGTTTTTTAGGTCCTAAAAGTTTTAGCTTCCTTGAAGTGTCAGGATGCCTTTTCTTTTTATTCCTTTACTTATCATGGGTTTTAGTTTCATCTTTATCTTGCTTCATCTATTTTTTTTCCAGTTGGAAGATTACTTATCTTTTGAGATAGAAGCAAAGGAGGTTGAGTTATTCAGTCTTGTCTTTTAGTCTTAATATTGAAACGTCTTCCCATGGCATTTACTCTAATCCTGGCTTTAAAAAGAAAGAAAAAGAAAAATCCATTTTGTTCCTTTATAACCAAAGCAATTAGAGTTTTGTGTTCCCTTGTCAGTAAAAGCTTTTAAGACATTGTTATAACAAAGAGAGAGCTGGTCACCTAAGTGAACCAGATTAGATGGTTATATTTTAGCATCAACTAAATTAAACCCATCCTGGCCCTGGCTGGTGTGGCTCAGTTGGTTGAGTGTTGTCCCGTGCACCGAGAGGTCACCAATTAGATTCCGGTCAGGGCACCAGAGTGCAGGCTTGATCCCCAGTAGGGGGCATGCAGGAGGCAGCTGATCAACAGTTCTCTCTTCCTCTCTCTAAAATCAAGAAAAACATGTTTTTAAAAATTAAATCCATCCAGTGAACAAGCACTTATTAAGGACTGGGTACCCCCCTCTCCCCCCTCCCCCGCACAAATGCTAGAGAAGCAACGTTATTGAATAGGACACGGGGTCAGCGGCTTGGGATCTGTGGTCTGGGAGAAGGGGAAGCTGGCGGGCACTGATGAGGTAAGCCACAGAGGGGAGGGAGCTCATTGGTTTACTTACATTCTGCACTTCAGTCCTAAGGAAGTAGGAAGCGAGTATCTGAGCTGCCAACGAGAAAAGGAAATACAGGTAAAAAAGTGGACACGTCATGTTTCAGGGGAATGTGATTTTTCCTTTTTTGGGGCTCTGAATTCAGAGAAGAACTTGAGGTGGATCGTTTTGTAAGGTGGGTTTCTGATAGGAGCAACATTCACTAAAGGGAATGTGTCTGTAATAGAGAGTTTTATAAAAGATACGAAAATTCCTTCATCAGGTGATTTATACCGATACTCAGCAGGACTGGAGGGCGTTCGATTGCAGAGTGATTTAGGGAAGCATTTCGCAGTGGGCAGGCTGCTGGGGTCGAAGCACTGCTCGCTGGTGGTGGAATGGAGTGTGTCAGCGGAGCTTAAGCCCTTTCCCCTTACAGGCACATGAGGGATGAGGTCATTCCCAGGGAAATGCCTCGATTTTAATGAAACAAAAAAAACAATATATTGGTTTTGGAGTTGGAATAGCTTCTACTCACCTGAACCTGTTACTGTCTATCAGTGAAAGTTGGTGTGGCAAGATGAGAAAGGCTCCCCAGAGCTCTGGGAATGGCAGCTCCGGGATGGTCTCCCCTCACCTGCTGCTAAGGCCAGCGCTTCCTTCTTCCTAATCCCAGCTGGAGGGCGCCTGTCCTCAGACAAAAACCAAAAATCTTTCCGTTGACAATGGAGGTACACAAACAATAAAGTCTTGCTCACTGGCCTCTCACCTCCCTGGTCCCCAGCGAGGCCGTGCACAGACTGGGTTTGTGGAGCTGACGAGCCCTTTAAATGGGGAGCCCAGCCCCTGCCTTCGGTCCTGGTCCTCGCACGCAGCCTTTGTCCAGTGAGTTGTTTTGCAGTTCCAAGGTTCCAAGTTCTGGTGACCATGTTAGCCAGACTCGGGGGCTTAGCACTCTCATCGGGGTTCCCCCCTGTCCGTCCTGCCCCCATAGGCTGCAAAGTCAAAGTTACCTTGTTCAGCCAGGATGCTGTTGGATTGCAGCCTTTTGTGGGAGAGAGTTCCCCCTATGATCAGCTGTTTAAAAGGCTTTGGTATACAGTGTGGTTATAATAAGGTTGATTCTCCTGGGCGTAGACCAGACTCCACTCTCCACCGCCAGTTTTATCAGAACTTGCTCTTACAAATGAGAATGGCTCTTCCAGATTGCCACCTGGCCCCCAAGGACACACTGTGCGCCTTTGCTATGCTGGATACCAGGGAAGCAAGGGCCAGTGGGCTTCGGCACAGGCTAGTTGAAGTGATCTTTCTGTCTCGTTCAGACTGGTCAGTTTACAGGTCACATCCACTGTATTATTCTTCACTGGTCTCTCCTCATTCTTTCTTCCCTTCTTTATGGCTCACCTGTGTTAGAACCAGTAACCTGAAGGAAGGGTTGTTTTTTCCTAACAGCTGGGACACCAGTGGGAGGAAGGGCGGTGAGGGGAAGTGAGCTCTGAGGTCCCCTCTGTGGCTGGGAGCTAGAGTGAAACCTCGCTGAGAGCAAAACAGGAAACCAGGGCACCGATAAGGTGTTTACGGCTGCCGCTACAGGCAGTCTAGCTGGCTGGGAACTCTGAATGTGGTCCTTCCCACTAAATGTTTAAAGAAAAGCAGTTCTCTTGCTTTTTAAGTATTTTCTGAATCAAATGGGACGGATAGGTGTTTTCTAGTATAAATAGAAAGGGAAGTACTTCAATGAAGAGATTAAAAAAAGAATTATAACTTAGAAATATTGAAGCACAGTGTAGACACATTTTTAGGCAGCACTTAGTGTTCACTACGCATGTGGAATATTTGACTAAAATACTTCTCAGAAGTTAAATGCCCCCTCTAAGTTTTGTTTACTCTTTATTCTCTTACCTCCGAAATAGTAGAAATTATAAAGTGATCAAATTCCAATCAGTATAGTTTACAAAATCATATGTGTAGCCATCACTAGGTCTTCTCCTGGCATCACAAAAATTCACTTGAATTGTAAACTCACATTAACCAAGTTGTTGTGACTTTCCATGAGCGACTTCTTAGCTTTCTAAATGAACACTATTTCTGTTTAATTGGTATTTGCCAACTATCAATGAATCCAGGGTCTAAACTATCCATACGTATTGTTGTAGAAGATGGCATCAAGCCATTTTAGGATATTTTATTGCTCTCTGGGGTCCTTAGTTTGCTATCCTAAGGAAAAGTTAAAATGGTACTGATACTGTTTTAATTAACCCAGTTTTTACTTAATTAACAGGAAAGGAGCAAAGGGAAGGCCAGATAATGTAGACAAGCCATTCGTGCCAGAAAGCTGAAGTTTTACCCTCTTCTGGTCTGTTCCCTGCAGATCCCGGGGAAAGGGACTGGGCAAAGAAAGACTAGACCCATGCCCGGGAAGGTCTGGGAGTAGGTCACTGGCCATAATAGGCGTGGCCACTGCAAGGGTGTGATATCTGAGAAACGTAAGCTCCTGAACAAAGGGAGTTCCCGCTCCTGGCCCTCTTGCTCTCTCGGGACTCTTGTTGTAGGGGGTGTGCTCTCACGCTCTCACTCACCCACGTGGCCCACAGCCATGTCCACCCCCCGCACAATGGACCAAGGGACTGTGATTAGCCTGATGCTATGCCAGACTTCACTCCACAGGGAAAGGAAACTGGACACTGGCTTTGCTTCCAGCTCTGCTGACCAGCTACACCTTTTCCAGGGCTGGTTTAAGGGAAACGGGACTTTAGAAACCCAGGGATATAACTTCACACAAGTAAAAACCTCTCATTCTCCCATGCGAGTCTTAGGAAGCTCTTTTTCTCAAGATAACGTAAGATCTCCTCTTCTGCTAGCAACAGAGAAATCCCGCCCATCCAATTCTCCAATGACAGTGTCAGTCATGCAGCTCCATCCCTGTTTTTATATTTCACAACATCTTTAAGATCTGAGTGACAAATGTAGGCTAACTGTGCCTAAACTGGCCCCGTTGTTTTCATCGCTGAAAACTAATTTTTAAAAACTGTGATCGTTCTCAAAAAGCTACGAGGTTGTTAAGATGAAACAGATTTGGCTGTGTATTGATAACTTGCAACTTGATGTTGAATGATGATTTATTATACAATTTATCTACTTTCGTTGGCAAAGAAATACAGACGTTGTCAAAACATAAGCCAGCATTTTCCAGGTTCTAGGAAAGAAACAATAGTCCATTAGTAAAGGAGAGGATCTTGCATCAAAAAGGCACCTCATCC